TCAGCCCTCAATTTGATTATTTCCTGGCATCTGATCCTCCTGGGTGAGTTTGCTTCTTATCTAGAACATTCAGCTGTGCTTTGAATTCTCTAGTATGACTGTTCCCCAGTTTCTTCATGTGGGCACTTAGTGCTATGAACTTTCCTGTCAGCACTGCTTTCAGAGTGTCCCATAAGTTTGGGTATGTTGTGTCTTCATTCTCATTGAATTCCAGGAAGTCTTTAATTTCTTTTTTTATTTCTTCCATTACCCAGGGATGGTGCAATTGTGCATTGTTCAATTTCCATGAGTTTGTAGGTTTTCTGTGATTTGTGTTATTGTTGAATTCTAATTTTAATGCATGGTGGTCTGATAAGATACATGGGGTTATTCCAATTGTTTTTTTTTTTTTTTTTGTATCTGTGGAGGTTTGCTATGTTTCCGATTATGTGGTTGATTTTAGAGAAGGTTCCAGGTGGTGCCAAGAAAAAGGTATATCCCTTTGTGTTTGGGTGGAATGCTCTACAGATGTCTGTTAAACCCAGTTGGGTCATAACTTCTATTAGTTCTTTTGTTTGTTTTTTAAGTTTCTGTCTGGAGGTTCTATCTAGCAGTGAGCGGAGTGTTGATGTCTCCTACTATTAGTGTGTGAGATTTTATGTGTGATTTGAGCTTTAGTAATGTTTCTTTCACGAATGTAGGTGGCTTTGTATTTCGGGCATAGATGTTCCAAACTGAGACTTCATCTTGATGGACTTTTCCTTTGATGAATATGAAATGTCCTTCTTTATATCTTTTGATTGATTTTAATTTGAAGTCTAGTTTGTTGCATATTAGGATTGCTACACCCGCTTGTTTCTTGGGTCCGTTTGATTAACAAAATCAGAAATGAAAAGGGAGACATAACAACGGACACTGAGGAAATCCAGAGAATCATCAGGACATATTTTGAAAATCTGTACTCCACAAAATTTGAAAATTTAAAGGAAATGTACAATTTCCTGGATAGATATCACTTGCCAAAACTAAACAATCTAAACAATCTAAACAGACATATAACCCTTAATGAAATAGAAGTAGTCATCAAAAGTCCCCCAACCAAAAAAAGCCCAGGCTGAGATAGCTTCAGTGCAGAATTCTACCAGAAATTCAAAGAACAGCTAATTCCAATACTCCTCAAAGTATTCCACAAAATAGAAGCAGGAGGCTCACTGCCAAAGTCTTTTTATGAGGTTACAATTACCTTGATACCCAAGACACAAAGACGCAACTAAGAAAGAGAACTATAGACCAATTTCCCTCATGAACATCGATGCAAAAATACTCAATAAAATACTAGCAAACTAGATTCAAGGACACATCAGAAAATTCATGCACCATGATCAAGTAGGCTTCATCCCAGGAATGCAGGGATGGTTCAACGTTAGAAAATCTATCTATGTAATCCACCATATTAACAATCTGCGAAAGAAAAACCACATGATCATCTCACTAGATGCTGAAAAAGCCTTTGACAAAATCCAGCACCCCTTCATGATAAAGGTCCTAGAGAGATCAGGGATAACAGGAACATACCTGAACATAATAAAAGCAATATATAGTAAATCAACAGCCAACATCAAACTAAATGGACAGAAACTCAATGTGATTCCTCTAAAATCGGGAAAAGACAAGGCTGTCCACTCTCTCCATATCTCTTCAATATTGTACTTGAAGTTCTAGCTACAGCATTAAGACAACAAAAGGAGATCAAGGGGATACAAATAGGAAAAGAAGAAGTCAAGCTTTCACTACTTGCAAATGATATGATAGTTTACATAAGTGACCCAAAAAACTTCACAAGGGAACTCCTAAAGCTGATAAATACCTTCAGCAAAGTGGAATTATACAAGGTTAACTCAAAAAAATCAGTGGCCTTATTGTTTACAGATGATAAAGTGGCTGAGAAAGAAATCAGAGAAACATCACCATTTATAGTAGCCATAAACAGCATCAAATATCTGGGGATAATGTTAACTAGAGAAGTGAAAGACCTGTATATCAAGAACTTTGACTTTTTAAAGAAAGAAATCAAAGAGGATACCAGAAAATGGAAAGATCTCCCATGCTCGTGGATTGGTAGGATCAACATAAAAAAAATGGCAATCTTGCCAAAAGCAGTCTACAGATTCAATGCAATCCTTATCAAAATTCCTGCACAATTCTTCACAGACCTGGAAAGAACAATAATCAACATTACATGGAAAAACAAACGGCCCAGGATAGCCAAAACAACCCTATACAATAAAGGAATGTCAGGAGGCATCACCATACCTGACTTCAAGCTCTATTATAGAGCTATAGTCCTGAAAACAGCTTGGTATTGGCACAAAAATAGACAGGTAGACCAATGGAACTGAATTGAAAAATATACAATGGAAAAAAGAAAGCATCTTCAACAAATGGTGCTGGCATAACTGGGTATTGGTATGCAGAAGACTGCAGATAGATCCATGTTTATTGTCTTGTACAAAACATAAGTCCAAATGGATCAAAGATCTCAACATAAATCCAACCACACTGAAACTCTTAGAAGAGAAAGTGGGAGATACTTTAACGAGTTGGTACAGGAGACCACTTCCTTCACATAACTAGCACAGACAGTTGAGATTGACAATTAATAAATGGGACCTCCTGAAACTGAGAAGCTTCTGTAAGGCAAAGGACACAGTCAACAAGACTGGTGCAAGCAGATGCAAACCCCCACAGTTAAACACTGAACTGAACCCATGTTACCCAGTGACACAGAGAGAGCAGCAATGAGCAAATTGGCAAAGAATGGGCTGGCAAAACCAGCAGAGACAGGGGAGAGCTGATCTGAACAGGGGAGAGCTCTTGGACCCCAGACCGACAGTTGAGAGGCCAGCATGGGACTGATCCAGAACTCCTGAATGTGAGAGTCAGTGAGGAGGCCTGGGCAACCTATGGGGTCCTGGGCAGTAGATCAGTGTTTATCCCTGGCATACAAACAGACTTTGTGTGTCTATAACACAAAGTGGGATGCTCTCTCAGCCTGGACTCTAGGGGAGGGCCTGGACACTGCCCTGAGTGAAATGACAGGCTCTAGATATCCCTTATATGGAAGGAAATGGTAATAGGCTGGGAGGCTGGGAGGGATGGTGGGGGAGTGCAGGAGGAGGGGAGGGAGAGGGATCTGGGATTGGCATGTAAAACAAGCAATTAAATTAAAATAATAATAAAAAAATAGTCTCCCAGAGTCCACATATTTGCCATATACTACAAACCAAAATCACATTATGGACACATACAACACAATGTTTTTGCTTTTTTAAAATAAATTTCATTGCTATTAAATTATTGGCATCTGAGATAATCCACACAACAGGCTGCACTTCATGATGTATTACCAAGTGGAGAACTAAGGGGAATGAGAAGAATCACGGAATACAAAATATATACACATATCCACAGCTCATCAAGCTATGCTATGAGATATAGAGTTGATTGCTTATTATGCAATTTTATAACATCTCTACAATATAGATGAAAATGAGGATTTGGATATACACATGAGGTATTGGGTAAAGATCTCTTCTATTAAACATTTTTACATAGAATGTTAAAACATTTGACAAAACAGCACAAATAGGGGTCCAACTTCTATCCCAGGACTTGCACTCAGGAGGCCCAAACTTGAGATTCAGGAGTTCATTTGTAGCCCTGTGTAATCACTGACATCCAAGTCAGGCCGCATAACAAACCCCAACAGAAGCAAATGCATGAAAATATGAAAAACTAAGCCATGAACAACAACACACTTCCACAGACACCCTAACCCTGAAAAGTCTGATCATATAATGCAAGATATTTAAATTAACAATGGACCACTAGATGGCAGGCATCCCATTCTATACATTACAGCAGGGAAGTGCCTATCAATCACATGAAACTGCAATGGAAGATGAACAAAAGCCGTGAATGAATATAAGAGCCCTATTGTCATTAGTAAACGGATTTGACAAAAATAGAGCATCTTCAGTGCCTACTCTAGATGTTTCAAAATACAAACCACAACCACATTTATTCATCTTTAACATTACACTTTGACGAACATGGTAAATTACTTCCTTTAAGGTTATGATAAAAAAGAGATGAAACAAGAGTTTTCCCTTGAAACTGAAGGCAACTGTGATGGCTAAGATCTTAGCAAATCATTTAGACAAATAAGCTTTTTAAAAAATCACGGATTGCTGGGTGTAGGTGGTGCAGGCCTTTAATCCCAGCACTCGGGAGGCAGAGACAGGTGGATCTCTGTGAGTTCGAGACCAGCCTGGTCTATAAGAGCTAGTTCCAGGACAGCCTCCAAAGCCACAGAGAAACCCTGTCTCAAAAAACCAGAAATAAAATCACAGATGAGCTCTTTCCAATTCCTCACACAAACATGATATATAAAGGTTTTAGAATATTTATAGGGCTTGAGACATGGCTGAGCAGTGAAGACAAGTTCATGCCAAGAACAAAATTGGGTTTTGGACAATGTTCTAATTCCTGCAACAGGAGATCTTATGTTCTTAGGCTGAAGCACCCCTATACACGTGCACATACCTACATAAAAAGATACTGGAAATCGCCGGGCGTTGGTGGCGCACACCTTTAATCCCAGCACTTGGGAGGCAGAGGCAGGTGGATCTCTGTGAGTTCGAGGCCAGCCTGGTCTACAAGAGCTAGTTCCAGGACAGCCTCCAAAGCCACAGAGAAACCCTGTCTCGAAAAACCAAAAAAAAAAAAAAAAGGATACTGGAAATCACAAAATAAAAATTAAGACAATTCATTAAACACATTTTCACTCATGAATGTTTTTCTCATATAAATTTTCAGTCCTATAGGAATAAATTCTTGTCTTTGAAGAGGATGTTGTCACAGAAAGGCTTTATCTCGTTGATTATATTTGTAAGGTTTCCTTTACTATGTGTTCTTTCATGGGTTTGAAGGCTATTGTGCTTTATAAACACTTTAAGACATTAATTATATTTGTAGGGTTTCTTTCCAGTATGTGTTCTTTTATGCTGCTGAAAACTATCATTACGTGCAAAGGCTTTATCACACTGATTGCATTCATAAGGTTTCTCTCCAGTATGTATTCTCTCATGTACTCGAAGACTACTCTGTTGTGTAAAGGTTTTACCACATTGATGGCATTCATACGGTTTCTCTCCAGAATGTGTTCTTTTGTGGTATTGAAGATTACTGTGATGTGCATAGGCTTTACCACAATGATTACATTTGTAAGGTTTCTCTCCGGTATGTAATCTTTCATGTACCCGGAGATTACTCTGTTGTGTAAAGGCTTTATCACATTGCTTACATTTGTATGGTTTCACTCCAGTGTGTGTTCGTTCATGAGTTTGGAGATTATGGCCATATGTAAAGGTTTTACCACATTGATTGCATTCATAAGGTTTCTCTCCAGAATGTGTTCTTTGGTGTACTCGGAGACTACACTGTTGTATATAGAATTTATCACATTGATTGCATTTGTAGGGCTTCTCTCCAGTATGTGTTGTCTTATGTAGTTGAAGATAACTGTGCTTTGCAAAGCTTTTACCACACTGAGTACATTCATAAGGTTTCTCTCCAGAATGTGTTCGTTTATGGTATTGAAGAGTACTGTGCTGTGCATAGGCTTTTCCACATTGATTACATTTGTATGGTTTCTCTCCAGTATGTAATTGTTCATGTACTCGGAGATTACTCTGCTGTGTAAAGGCTTTACCACACTGATTGCATTTGTAGGGCTTCTCTCCAGTATGTGTTCTTTTATGTATTTGGAGATAACTGTGCATTGCAAAGCCTTTACCACACTGAGTACATTCATAAGGTTTCTCTCCAGAATGTGTTCTTTCATGTACTCGGAGATAACTCTGTTGTGCAAAGACTTTATCACATTGATTACATTTGTAAGGTTTCACTCCAGTATGTCTTCTTTCATGTGGTTGGAGATAACTGTGATTTGCAAAGTTTTTACCACAGTGAGTGTATCCAAAATTTTTCTCCCCAGTATGTATTCTATCCTGTATTCGTAGATAACTGTGATGTTCAAAGGTTTTACCACACTTAATATGCTGAGAGGATTCTTCTTCAGTATGAATGTTTTCATACCTGTGAAGATAATTGTTAATGGAAATGCTTTACCATGTTTATCACTCTGATGAATTGTTTTTACCATATAAATTCAATTTATAATTGGTCTAATTATCAAGAGTAAGCATATCTTAAGAATTTCATCTTGTTTACACCCACACTGTTCCCCTTCATTGTTTGTTTTTTTGCATCTTTAAAGATACCTGTTTTAGGAGAGGTATTTTTTTTAACACATTTCATTGTGGTATTTTAAAAGTTATGGCCCACATAGACACATAAGTTGGAATGGTTGGTCCATAGGTAGTGTCACTATGAGAATATGTGGGTTTGCTTGAGTAGGTGTGACCTTGATAGATAAAGGATGTCACTGTGGAGGTAGGCTGTGAGGTTTTATATGCTCAAGCTGTGCCCAGGGTGTCCCACAGTCTCTTTCTACTGCCTGAAGATAAAGATGTATAACTCATCTACCTCTTCAGCACCATTTATTCCTGTATGCCACCATGTTTCCTGTCATAATGATAATGGACTAAGTCTTTGAAAGTCTAAATGCTTTCATTTATAAGAGTTACTGTGGTCATATTGTTTCTTCACAGAAAGAGAAACGCCAAATATGAAATACATATAGAATTCCTTTTCTATATGAGGTTTTCAGATATTTGAATATAACAGGAAGAACTCAAAGTTTACCACACTAAGTGCATTCATGAATTTTTCTATACTGAGTCATGCTACATTGCAAAGTGAACCAAAGTAGGATAAAGAAAAGAATATTCACATTCCAAAGCAGGTGATGGTGGTGCATGCCTTTAATCCCAGCACTCAGGAGGCAGAGGCAGGTGGATCTCTGTTAGTTTAAGGCCAGCCTGGTCTACAGAGTGAATGCCAGGACAGGCTCCAAAGCAATACAGAGAAACCCTCTCTCAAAAAACAAACAAACAAAAAAGAATATTCACATTACTAGTAATCACAGGGATTTTCTGCAATGTGAGTTTGTTGATGTGTTCCCAATGAAGTTGAAAAACCAATTAATCAAGAACATAAATCACATTTAGAAAGTATACTCAAAGTGGAGATTACCACATGTTCTTCTTGATATGGGAGATAGAGATATGTTGCTTCTTTCCACATCTCCATGTTTCAGTGGATTGTATCCATTGTATTATGCTATATATCTAGTACAGGAAAGGTTTGCATATCAAATTCACAGTTTGACTTTTTGTTTCTCATAGATATGTGGTATAAGGATTAAATTTTCTCCAGAAAAACATTTTTGATTCTCAGAAACTGCCCGTATTAATAAAGTTATCAAAGTGAATAAGAATAATACTAGCTTTACTCTTGACTATTTGCTTTAGAAAAATTTGAACATATACTAATTACCTATTTGACATGTATACATTAAAAATATCTGTGTATTATGAAACTAAACTCTTTGGAAGTTCTATGGCATAGTATACACAGGGCTGTGAACCAAATGTTTCTTTGTCTTCTTTCTAAGAGGAATACCTTTCAAATACAAACTCACTTTCTAACATTGTGATACATGGTTAGGTGCTAACTTAGTTATCACTAAAGTGCAAATAAATAAAGCTGTACTAATTTCACTATTGCTTCTATTTAGAACTTTCAGGACACATTAAAATTTTTTCAGAAGCACATTTATGCGAGGCTGAACAAGAAAATTACCTTCCATGTTGTGTAGATATTTGATCAGGTTCTTCAGCATTATTGTCTTCCCAAATGTAGCCTAAATTATACCAGAAAAATGTATGAAAAATTTCAGAAATCATGCAAAATAAAAATTGTCAATCAAAACTATAAAAGAGAATCAATAACCCAGATAGAGTTGTCCTTTTCTTAAAAAGTACAGTCAAATTCAAAGCCCTACCTGTATCCATGAGGTTCCTGTAGGTATCCAGCATCACTTCTTTGTAGAGATTCTTCTGGGAAGGATCCAGCAAAGCCCATTCATCCCAAGTGAAACTTATGTGCACATCATCATACGTCACTGCATTCTAAAATATCCCATATATATGTTCAACAGAAAGCATGATACTACCAATACTGTTAATGTATATTTCTTCAAAAATATATTCATATAATTCTGATGCATCTCACACATACTCTGTAACAGACATTTTAATGTAATCACCATGTCATTTAAGAAGGAAACTGAAAAATGAGAGTCACCTCTGTCATTTCTTCATAGTTCGAATAAGGTAGATACTTGCAAGAGATAAATCTATTAAAAGACAAGTAAACGGAACAAGAATACTGAACTGATCACACATTAGAGAAATCATATGAACAGCTACTAACTAGAAAAAAAGATGGGTGAGGTGGTTGTTTTGGCTTATGCCTTTAATCCCAGAATGCAGGAGGCAAAGGCAGCTGTATTTCTTCTGCAAACAATCTTTTTGTACACTATGAATAAGTATTACTCTCACTGAGTAAAAAAGAGCTCACTGGCTTATAACTGAGCAGGAGCAGGTTAGGGGCAAAACCAGACCAAGAGCATGCTGGGGGTACGAAGGACAGAGTCACAGTCAGGGGAGAGCCACCAGACACAAGATGGACACACTGTACTGAGAAAAGTTACCAACGTAGATAAGAAACATGGGTTTATATAAATAAAAGAGTTAGCTAGTAACAAGTCTAAGTTATAAGCCAAGCATTTGTAAGTAGTATCAACATTCTATGTTGATTATTTAGGAGTGGGCTGTAGGGATAAAGCCTCCCTGTATAAACTGCATTCCAACAGACTGGAGTTTCCACATCACACCTAACAGGGTTTTAAAAAGCTTATGAATTCACAGAAATATTGCAAAACTTGACTTCCCAATCTCATGTTTCTCATGCCAGTCACCAGGTACCTTGCACTACAGCCGTGCTCTAAGCTAAGAAGTACAGGCTGCAACTGACATGGCAGCATATAACTGTTCTCACTGGACCAGAAAGAGATTACAGATATGCAGTAAAGACAGAGAGGAAAAAACCCTCCACACAGGTTACAGTATGTTTAAAAATATACATAGGCTAGTGAGAGAAAAGAGAAGGTACAGACAGTAAAAAAAAGTGGTTTTAAAACGATAAAATCCTTTTAAAAATGGGGTAAGCAATATAAAAGAAAAAAAAATCACCCAAAGATGGGAAATACATGAAGAGTCTGGATCTATATGTCACTGAATTCTCTTTAAATTATTTGGCTGCTAAGAGACATTGGACTATGAAAGCCAGTAGAATCAACCACCTCCATCTTCCTGGGCCTGCTCCTCGAATCGAGTGGACCTGCACAGACAGGAAGGAGGAGATTACTGCTACACCCCACTCTTGGCTCTCCCTCTGCCCACCGAGCTCTGCTTGAGTGTGGGGAATACCAGGAGGAGCCAGACCATTTAGAGTTGCAGACACTGAAGTCTTTGCCCACATATGGCACTGGGAAGACTACAGTATAAAAACACACACAGCAAGAAAGACCAATATGACTCCACCAGAATCTAGAGACTGCACACCAGCATGACCTGAAAAGCACAATGCAGATGAAGCAGGAGAGACAGATGTAGAAATTATTTTGTGAATATCCACAGCTAAACACTGAAATGAACTCCTGGAACCTAGTGACAGAGATGGAGGAGTGATGAGAAAGGGGTCAAGACCATGATGGTGAAACCCACAAAGACAGCTGACCGGAAAAGGGGGAGCTCTGTAATCCCAGACTGATGGCTGAGAGGCCAACAGGAGACTGATCCAGACTCCATGAATGTAGTGCCAGTGAAGAGGCCACAGAAATCACTGGGGCCTGGGTAGTAGATCAGTGTGTACCATGGTGTATGAATGATCTTTGGGAGCCCATTCCAAATAGAGGGATGCTCTCTCAGCCTGGACACATGGGGAAGGGCCTGGGTCCTGCCATGGATGAAATGACAGACTTTGGAGATTCCCCCCAAGGAGGGCCTCACCCTCCCTGGGGAATGATGCAGGAATGGGGTTGGGAGCTGGGGGGCTTGTAGAGGGACAAGGGAGAAGGGGTGGAAGAGGGAGCTGGGGTTGACATGTGAAGCATTCATGTTTCTAATTTAAATAAAAACATATATTGAGGAAAAAATTGTTTTATGAAGATGCTAGAGACCCTCAAAGAGGAAACGAGAAAATCCCTTGAAGAAATAGAAGAATAAACATACCAAAAAATTGAAAAAAATAGCTGGGCATTGGTGGCACATGCCTTTAATCCCAGAACTTGGGAGACAGAGGCAGGCAGATCTCCAGTTCAAGGCCAGCCTGGTCTACAGAGCAGGTTCCAGGACAGCCTCCAAAAACAATATAGAGAAACCTTGCCTCAAAACACAAAATAAAACAAAAAGTTCAAGAAATAAACAAATCTCTTAAAGAATCTTAAGAGAGCCAAGAAAAAACAAACAAAAAAGTGAAGGAAACAACTCCAACAGTTCAAGGCTTAAAAGCTGAAATAGAAAAAAATAAAGAAAACACAGAATGAGGGGATGCTGGAAATACAAAAGTTTGGTAAACGATCGGGAATTACAGATGTATAACCAATAGAATACATGAGATGGAAGAGAGAATCTCAGGTGTTGAAGACTTATTAGAAGATACACAGTCATCTACCAAAGAAAATCTCAAGTACAACAGATACATAACACAAAATATACAGGAAATATGGGACACTGTGAAGAGGTCAAACCTAAGAATAATAGGTATAGAAGAAGGTGAAGAAATACAACTCAATGGTACAGAAAGCATACTCAACCTAAAGAAGGATATGCCTATGAAAGTATAAAAAGCTTACATAACACCCAATAGACTGGACCACAAAAAGAAGTCCCCTTACCACATAAGAATCAAAACACCAAACGTACAGAATAAAGAGAAAATATTAAGAGCATCAAAAGAAAAAGGCCAAGTAACATATAAAGGCAGACCTATCCAAATTACACCTAACTTCTCAAAGGAAACTATCAAAGTCCCACAAACAGTAAGAGAACAAGGATGGCAGCCCAGACTACTGTACCCAGCAAAGCTTTCAATTGCTATAGATGGAGAAAACAAGATATTCAATGACAAAACCAGATTTAAACAATACATATCCACAAATCCAGCCCTACAGAAAGTACTGGAAGGAAAACTCCAACCCAACGAAGATAACTACACTCACAAAAACATAGGCAATAGACAATCTCACTTTACTAAACACCAAAAGAAAAAAAAAGGGGGGGATACACACACAATAATACCACCATCAATAAAAACAAAACAAACAAGAATCAACAATAAATGGTCACTAATATCCCTCAATGTCAATGGTCTCAATTTGCCTATAAAAAGACATAAACTAACAGAAAGGATACAAAGACAGAACCCATCCTTCTGCTGCATACAAGAAACACACCTCGCTGGGCGGTGGTGGCGCATACCTTTAATCCCAGCACTCAGGAGGCAGAGGCAGGTGGATCTCTGTGAGTTCGAGACCAAGCCTGGTCTACAGAGCGAGTTCCAGGACAGGCTCCAAAACAATACAGAGAAACCCTGTCTAGAAAAAGAAGAAGAAGAAGAAGAAGAAGAAGAAGAAGAAGAAGAAGAAGAAGAAGAAGAAGAAGAGGAAGAGGAAGAGGAAGAGGAAGAGGAAGAGGAAGAGGAAGAGGAAGAGGAAGAGGAAGAGGAAGAGGAAGAGGAAGAGGAAGAGGAAGAGGAAGAGGAAGAGGAAACATACCTCAACGTCAAAGATAGACGGTACCTCAGAGTAAAGGGTTGGGAAAATATTTTTCCAACCAAAGGAACCCAAGAAACAAGCTGGTGTAGCAATCCTAATTATCTAATAAATTAGAGTTCAAATTAAAATCAATCAAAAGAGATACAGAAGAACATTTCATATTCATCACAGGAAAAGTTCATCAAGATGAAGTCTCAATTTTTTTTTCTTCCAGAAAAGGCTTTTTTATTCAAGTAACTGCAAATAGGAACCCATAGGGGGAGCCCCAGGCCGGGACAAATCCTAGCCACCCCTCCCCCACAGAACAAGGGGAGAAGGTGGTCCTACACCCTTTTCCCATTACAATGGGCCCACCTCCTCACTCTGCTGCAGCATCCAAGGGGCAGCGCCCCATCTTCCCTGGGTGGTTGGTAGTCAGCCTGCTGACACCCAGCCCTGCCTTTCCCCTAGAGTGTTTTGGGGAGAATGCAGACAGAAAGGGAGGATGAACTTTTGGCGCTGGTAGCAGCAGCAGCAATGGTGGGTGTCTAAGAATGAACATTGAACAACAACAACAACAAAAAACCCAGCACGACTGTCCAGAGGTAGTTTGTGAGCAGAGGAAAAGATGAACCAGAACCTTGGGGGGAGGGGGAGGCAGGAGCAAAAAAGGAAGGGGCAAGGGTAGCTCCTTAGTGTCCCACTGGAGGAAGGGAAACAGCCTAGAGTCGGAGTGGGGGAGGTGAGTTAGCGCCCCATCTGCCTCAGGAGGACATCGCCCTGGAGATGGGTGGTTGACTCCCATCTGCTGCTGCACTGGGTCCCAGGTGAGAACTTTGTGGGTGTGGCCATCGCATCCTACTTCCTGTAGCCCGAGGGGCTCTAGCCAACCTAGTGTAGGGTCTAGGTAGGGTGGGGCAGCAGTGGCTGAGAAACCCACCAGGTGAGTTTGGTGGGGGCGGGCATGCTGGAGTCTAAGCATCCCAGCACTGACCACACCTGCTGCTCAGTCAGTCAAGGGGCATGTCAGAACCCAGACGGGGCTGGGGCTGCCCTTTTAAGGACAGGCAATGCTCCCAGGACCCTCCTTCTACAAGGAAGCCAGGAAGAGCAAAGCAGAGAGTGCCTGTGAAACAAGAGCCTGGAGAGCAATGTCAGTAAGGGAGGTGCGCAGCAGGACAGGCTGCGGCTGAACAGGGAGTTAGCCTTGTTGGGAGA